TCCCAAGTATGGCCAAGTGACAGATCTGAGTATCGAACCCATATGTCTGTCACAATTTTTAACCACTATAGTGTACTTTTTATCATCTGGACTTTTTAAAATTTTGTAAAACACTTTTAACTATGGGAAAAATTCAGATTAATGTAATAAAGATATGCATGTTCTCTACTCAGAATTAATAGATATTAATATTTTGTAATATTTGATCCAGATGTATTCTTTAAATTAAAATATTAAAGTTTAAGTCACTCATTTAGAAAAAAATTAATTGAATGCCTACCTTGTTCTGGGTGTTTGGAATAAATAGGTGAAGAGAAAGGACTTAAGATGGCAGAGTAGTAGAGGACCCTATGCTTGCCTCATCCCTTGAACACAGCTAGATAAATATCAGATCATTCTGAACACCCAAGAAATCGATCTGAAATAAATAGGTGAAGAACGTATAGATTCCTGCCACAAGCCAAAAAAACAGATAATAAACAATAACTATATGTTAGAAGGTGATAGTAGATGGGTGCCTGGGTGGCACAGTCAGTTGAGTGTCAACTCTTGGTCTCAGCTCAGGTCTGATCTCAGCGTTGTGGGATGGAGCCCCACGTTGGGCTCTGCGCTCAGCCTGGAGTCTGCTTGTGTTTCTCTCTCCCTCTCTCCCTCCCCTCCCACACTCTTTCTGAAATAAATCTTTAAAAAAAAAGTGATAACTGGAACAGGAGAAGAAAGAAAAATGTATAGCTGGATAAGGGAGTCAGGAATCTGGGGCTGGGAAGTGGAAAGAAGTTTCACTCTTTTTTTTTTAATATTTATTTATTTGAGAGAGAGAAGAGTGCACGTGTGAGCAGAGGGAAAGAGAGAGAATCTCCAGCAGACTTCCCACTGAGCATAGAGCCTCACACAGGGCTCGATCTCACCACCCTAAGGTCATGACCTGAGCCAAAATCAAGAATTGGACGCTTAACCGACTGAGCCACCCAGGCGCCCCTAGAAGTTTCACTTTTTAATATGGTGGTCCAGATAGGCCTTATTGTGAAGGTGACAAGAAAACTTACCTGGGGAAGATAGTTTCAGGCAATGGAATAGCCAATGCAAAGGCACCGACATGAATTCCCCTTTGTTCCCTTTCCCAATCCATTCTCCTTTCCTCGCCCAGAAGCAGGTGATACTGTGAATTTGATATGTATCTTTCTAGTCTTTGTTTTTATACTTCTCCTCATGTGTATCCATAAATAATACTGAGTATTGTCTGTTCTTGAGTTATATAAATAATGTGATACCATACTTGCTGTCTTTCATTCAAGTTATGATGAGCAAAATATGTAAGTCTAGTTCATTCATCATTTTGACCTGTTTAGTATTCTGTAAAAATGCCACAACTTATGATTTTTTTCCTGTTACAAGCACATTAACTATCTTTATACATACTTCCTTAAACATAAGTGAGAGTTTGTTTAGGGTTTATATCTAGAAGTGAAATAATAGAGCTATTCATATGCATTTCAGCTTTATTAGATACTGCCAAATTGTTTGATTGCTTACATCAACAAGTGTGTTAAAAATACTGTTTCTTCATATTCTCACCAGCCTTTAGTATTTTTTTTTAAGATTTTATTTATTTATTTGAGAATGAGAGATAGAGAGCATGAGAGGGAAGACGGTCAGAGGGAGAGCAGACTCCCCGCTGAGCAGGGAACCCGATGTAGGACTCAATCCCGGGACTCCAGGATCATGACCTGAGCCGAAGGCAGTCGCTTAACCAACTGAGCCACCCAGGCACCCAACCACCAGCCTTTAGTATTATCAGTATTTTATTTTTGCCAGTGTGGTGGAGTGAATTATTGCTTTTATATTAGTTTTCTAGATTACTAGTGAAATTAAACTCTTGTTCAAATGTTTACTGACAATTCAACTTTCCTTCTCTGTAAGTTGCCTGCTTATATCCTTTGTCTATTTGTTTATTGGCTGGGGTTTTTTTGAGACTATTTTTTTTTTAAGATTTTTTTTTTAAATTTATTTTTATTTATTTGACAGAGGGAGCACAAGCAGGGGGAGCAGCAGGCAGGCAGAGGGAGAGGGAGAAGCAGGCTCTCTGCTGAGCAAGGAGCCCTGTGGAGGGCTCGATCCCAGGACCCTGGGATCATGACCTGAGCCGAAGGCAGCCGCTTAACGACTGAGCCACCCAGGCGCCCCAAGACTATATTTTAAGAGCAGTTTTAAATTCATAGCAAAATTGAGAAAAAGGTGCAGAGATTCCCTGTAATACTCCTTGCCCGCACATATGCATAGCCTCCCCCATTAGCAACCTCCCAACCGGAGTTACACATTTGCTGCAGTTGATGAACCTACATTGACAACATCATTGTCACCCTGAGTCCACAGTTTACATTAGAGTTCATTCTTGGTATTATATAATCTGTGGGTTTGGATGAGTGTATGACATGTACCTATCATTATAGTATCATACAGTATTCTCACTGCCCTAAAGCACCTCTGTGCTCCACCTATTTGTCTACTTCCCCCCCAACACCCCTGTTCCACAACCCCTGGCAACCACTGATCTTTCTACTATCCATAGTTTTACCTTTTCCCAAATGTCATATAGTTGGAATTATACAGTATGTACCCCTTTTCAGACTGTCTTCTTTCACTTAAGTAATATGCATATAAAGTACCTCCATTGGGATGCCTGGGTGGCTCAATTGGTTAAACATCTGCCTTCAGCTCAGGTCATGATCCCAGGGTCCTGGGATCAAGTCCTGCATCGGGCTCCTAGCTGAGCCGGGAGCCTGCTTTTCCCTCTGCCAGCCGAACCTCCTGCTTGTGCACGCTCTCTCTCTCTCTGACAAATAAATAAAAATCTTTAAAAAAAAATAAATAGGGACGCCTGGGTGGCTCAGTCAGTTAAGTGGCCGCCGTTGGCTCAGGTCATGATCCCAGGATCCTGGGATCGAGTCCCACATCAGGCTCCTTGCTACGCAGGGAGCCTGCTTCTCCCTCTGCCTCTGCCACTCCCCCTGCTTATGCTTATTCTCTGTCTCTCCCTCTCTCTCGGACAAATAAATAAATAAAATCTAATAAATAAATAAATAAGTATCTCCACATCTTTTTGCAGTTCGATAGCGCAAAGCTTTGGGCCTGAATAATGTTCCATTATCTGGATGTACTACAGCTTATTTTTCCATTCACCTACTGAAGGACGTTTTGGTTGCTTCCACGCTTTGGAAGTTGTAAATAGAGCTGCTATAAACATCTGTGCGCAGGTTTTTTTATAGTCATGAGTTGTTGACTCCTTTGGATAAATACCAAGGAACATGATTGCTGATCAGATGGTGGAATATGTCTAGTTTTGTAAAAAAGCACCAAACTCTTCCAAAGTTGCTGTACTATTTTGTATTCCCATCAGCAATGAATGAGAGTTCCTTTTGCTCCACATCCTTGCTACAGAGCCAAACATTTGACCATGTGATGATGATGTCAGTTTAGGTTTATCAGTTGTAGCAAATGTATGACTCTTGTGGATGGATTTTGATTCAGCATTTGATTTTGTCAATGTTAGGGATTTTGGCCATTGTGCTTGGTGTATAGTAGTATCTCATTTTTGTTTTAAATTGCAGTTCCATTATGAGATACAGTATGGAACATCTTTTCATCTGCCTATTTGTCATTTGTTTATCTTTGATGAGATGTCTGTTAAGGTGTTTGGCCCAGTTTTTCATTGGGCTGTTTGTTTTCCTATTGTTAAATTTTAGGTGCTCTTTGTCTATTTTGGGTAGTGGTCCTTTATCAGATATCATTGGCTATCTTTTTTTCTTAGTGATTTATATCATTTTTTTTTTATTTAGAGCAGTTTTTCCAAATGGTTTCTGAGAAACTAAGTTGACTACAATGTATTTTGTTGTCATCAACTGCTAAGTGATAGAATTAATTTCTGGTATTTTAAAGCTTTTTGTTTTTTTATTTAAATTCAGTTAATTAAAATATAATGTATTACTGGTTTAGAGGCAGAGGTCAGTGATCCATCAGTCTTATATAATACCCAGTGCTCATTATATCACATGCCCTTCTCAATGTCCATCACCCAGTTACCCCCATCCCTCCCACTCCCTCCCCTCCAGGCAGCCCTCAGTTTGTTTCCTGTGATTAAGAGTTTCTTAGGATCTGTCTCTCTCTTTGATTTTGTCTTTTTTATTTTTTCCTCCCTTCCCCTATGATCCTCTGTTTTGTTTCTTAAATTCCACATACGAGTGAGATCATATAATTGTCTTTCTCTGATGGACTTATTTCACTTAGCATAATGCCCTTAGTTCCCTCCACGTCACTGCAAATGGCAAGATTTCATTTTTTGATGGCTGAGTAGTATTCCATTTTATATATATATACCACATCTTCTTTATCCATTCATCTGTCGATGGACATCTGGGCTCTTTCCATAGTTTGGCTATTGTGGACATTGCTGCTATAAACATTGGGGTGCAGGTGCCCCTTCAGATCATAAAACTTTTTTTGTTAAAGACCTAGTCTTATAATTTATTGTCAACTTTTATTTCTGTAAATTATGGATTATGACATCCCTTCAGTGCCTGCTGCCAACCTACCACAAGGTAGGAAGGTGCAAAAGATGAATTAAAATCAGAAATTGCTTATTAGCTTGTTAGCTTTAATGAAAAATTTGGGGAAAAATACAGAAGATATGGTTACAGGGAACTGTTGTGTGTATTTTAATAAACCATGCAATTTAGTTGCCCATATTCCTATATTCCCATCCTAACAGTAATATTGTTATAAATATACAGAAGTGGGGCTGGAACATGTTCTTTTGAGATGGTCATTATCAGGTACTGAAGATCAAGCCACAGTATTCTGCTGACTCCTATCAAACAAAAAAAGAATAGAAAATAGTGCTCTTTGACACATGATGTCATAAAATCTGATTTTATGTAAAAATAGATGGTTTATGTATTTAAATGTAACAATCCTTTGGTAAACTTTATCTTCCTATCTTACAGATTAACAAATAGAAATATTATACACAAACCTGCAGAGTGGACCTTAATTGCTGTGGTGTTGTTGTCATTGTAAGTACTCCTTCAGATTTTAACTCTAAATACTAAATAGAATTTTGACTGAGGAAAAACCAAGTTATTCATTGATTTTATAAGCATCTTTGGAAAATGTACCTCTATTTTGTGCCTTACTTTCCTTTCCTATGTGATGAAATAACTTTCATGTAAAGTGATATGCCGGTATTTTGTTAAGCTTTAACTATTCTCTACCTTTTTTGCCGTCTTTTCGTCTGAGGGCCTTTTTCTTCACAAATATTATTTGTCATCTTTTGAAAGAGGAGAACATCTCCATGTGGAATATATATGGAATAGTCCTTTAATTTCATTTTTAACAATGCATTTTTATTAACATTGAATAGGTCTCATTATTTTATAACTTTAGTTTTACCAACATATTTAATGCTATTTCATTTTTTTTCAACATACTATTCATAGCTTTAGGAATGTTTTAATTTCCAAACTAATATACATCTTTAAAATCAAACAGATATAAAGGAACTATAAAGTAGATACTTACTACACAAGCATATATAAAACATTTAATACTCATTCACCTTTTAAGAAATCACTAGTGGTTTCCAAAGCTGTCTTTCAGTAGGGTTAAAACCATCTAGTAAGTGTAGTGTTTTTCAGCTTGAATTGCAAGTCTTCTTTTGAGGACCATTCATTACTGCATTAGTGTTGCTACTTGCTGCTTGTTAGGTCATTGAAGCCCATAGGACACTGAATACTTACTGGACACTCACAGGTCAAGAAGTGTTACGAGCCAACCTCATAGCATCTCCAGCCCTGCTTTCTCTTTCTTTGATATTTCTTCAGTCTGACATGTTACTCTAGCTTCACTGTCCCAAGGAAGGCTGTGCTGGGAGGCATTAGAGTAGGCTTCAGTGAGCCAGCATCTGTGTCACCCAGCCAGATACAACTCACATGATTCATTAAATCAGAACACAGAAAATAACTTTACTTGAATGCCCTGATATAAATTTTTTATCACCCATAAGAACAAATCTTTTGTCATTTCTACTATTCAGTGTTCCAGTTGAATTGGTTATTTGTGAAACAGATCTTATTAATTTTTTAGAAAGTTCTTTCCATTTTATGAAATTTGTAAATATTTTGGTCACTAGCAAAAAAAAATATATCAGTATCTCTGCTCACCCACCATATCCTATGCCTGCCAATAAACCCTCATAGATAACTGTTAAACTGTACTTCTGCAATTCATTATACTAAAGAGGAAGTAACTTTTTTGGTTGACAAGTCACAGGCCTGTGCCAAGCAGTAATCTCAGAATCTTGCTTTCTAAGCCAGTAACTGGAAGTATTATCTTAATGAGCAGCTGCTTACTGAGGACACATGTTAGGTCCTACTTTTTTTTGTATCAAACTCTGGACACATCTTCTCCAAAATGTATAGCAAGGAACAAAAAAAGTATAGAAAATGAAATAATAAAGACTGCCATTAAAATTTCAAATGATTATGCCACACAAAAATAAGCTTCTAGTGTTTGATTTTAATAAAGGCCCCCATGTGGCACAAAATATTGAAAACTTTGCTAATCCTTTTAGGCACTATTTGACTTCCCTAACTTTGGATATAGTTTAGGGAACCTCTTATTTCAAGGGTCAGTGACCCATAAAAATAGTAACTTAATTGAAGTTAAGAAACAAACTGCACACATCTTATTTGTATTGCATGTTGCACATTACGTGGTCAGTCTTGAGGTAGCAGTAAACACTGACTAGTTCCTTTTGTCATTCACCTTGAATCCTTTTCTTTCATTATATATTAACCCCTAGCTAGATCTGTCCATCTTTCTCCTGGTCCTTGGTCCTTTTGATACCTGAACAACTAAAATACTGTACAGTTAGGGCTCTTCTGGCTTCTTTTAAAATCATTGGTCATTGTAGACACCAAGTCAGCTGACACTTTCTTGATTTTTGCTTTTGAAATATTTTCTTGTAATTCTAACTTTTGCCATTAGTCCTCCTTGCAGGTTATTCCTGATCCCTTCCATTCTGTATTTGCACCTTTATATATTCACTAGCTGAATCCCCTTATTCTTTGGTCATCAGCTTCTAAGACTTTGTCTCCTGTCCCAGTATTATTTTATTTATTTCCTCTTTTCTCAGAAAGTCCCCTTTAGTTTTTCATATTTCTTCCCCCAAAGACTCTCTGGCTCAACTCATAAGCCCCTTCTTTCTCAGCCTTGTCCTTTTAATACCCTTTTAGAGTAAATATTACTTTATGAGATGGGGATAAAATTAAAATACTTAGTGAAATACTAATCCCATTGACTTCTCTAAAGTATAATTTTACTTTATATTTGCACTCCTCTTTCTGCCCACTTCAAGTTCACAGTTACTTTTTGGGAAAGGCATTTTGTCATTGGGGGAAGAAAAAGCAGGCTTGAGGGCAAGCATTGGATAAAGAATCTTAAACACAGTGAAAAATGTGGAGACTTTAGACACCCAAAGAGACATGCACATAAAAGGGGAAAGGAAGTAACATACTCACATGTATTTGTGGAGCAATAACCGCACTACTCAGCCTTTTAATTTATTGCCACTAAGACTGAACATAGGCATACATGGGATTATTTTTTTTTTTTAATAATTATTCTATGATCTGGAAAACCTCTGCATCTACTCTCAGATTTCCAGTGGAATTTTTTTAGTCATTACTTGCAGATGTTTCTGGAATTCATGTTAAAAGTAAACTTCTTGTAAATCTTTATAGCTAGGAAAAAGATTCTGAATGGCAGTGATAAGTCACTGAAGATGAGTGTAATAAGATAATATGTTCAGTATTATATAACAATAGTACTATTCTTTCTGTATGAATATTGCAAGGTTTTGTTATTAGCACTTGTTTAATGTATGAAAGCTGTATCAAAATTCGTCTTGAGAACTACTTAGAAAATATACATTTTATTAGCATTTTTGCTGTACTGGCTCCAGTCTAACACTTGTTGGAAGGGGGAAAAAATCAGTATTTTGAGCAAAACATAGTAGTCCAGAAGAATGAAAGAGGGCTGATTCTTCAACTTTCACATCTGTACTCTTAATAGTAAATAGGTGTTTCTGTAGCAAATCATCTTTTCCTCATAACTTCCCTTGCAGTTTCACAGATGTATTAACATTAGAAAAATTTAAACCACAATGTGTAATCTGTCAGTGTATACTGATGGGAATTTTATACCCATATAATCTCAGGAAGGAATTGATCAAATCAAATTATACACTTCATCTTTGCACACCCAATGAAATACACTTATATGTAAAAATACATCATGATCTATTCCCATTTCATTTAGATTTCTCCATATGCCTTGAATGGCCAATATGACTGCAATGTTTATGGATATTTATACTTTATACTCAGACCTTAAATAGTTGTCAAGAGCACGCAGAAAGACCTTTTAAATCAGAGCTTAAACAGTATACATTTATTTAACAGTGAAGGAATTAATTTCCCTTTAGTCCCTTCATGTTTATTTAATAAATGTTATAATTAGCAAAGATTCTGAAGTACTCCTTACGTAGAACATCTGTAATACTAATAATTGACTCAGTATTATTTTGTTTTGTTTTAAAGATTCTATTTATTTATTTGAGAGAGAGAAAACAAGCAGAGGGAGGGGTAGAGGGAGAGGAAGAAGCAGACTCCCCGCTGATCAGGAAACCCAACACAGGGCTCAGTCCCAGGACCCTGAGATTATGACCTGAGCTGAAGGCAGACGTTTAACCAACTGAGCCACCCAGGTGCCCCTTTTTTTGTTTTTTAATAACTCATTAGAAATGCAGTAAAGTAGCTTGGTGATTGGGGTTACTGCTTAAGCACTTGCTTATAGTAATTTTTTAGCTTAGTTGAACTTTATCAGACTTTACTCTTACATACTATATGTTGAAATAATACAGAGTTGAATCTGATTTTCCCACAAAGTAATGCTCTAATACTAGGCTCTTTCCATAGTCTTGATGCATGATTTTTTATAAAGGTGTATATAAATATAGAGACAGTCAGCTATAAATATTTTAGTGCCTGTATACTCTATTGTGTAAGGCTAGTTAATGTATTTATATAATTTTGATGTGTTTATATACCAAATTAGCAAGCATAATAAAGTACATTTTGTGATGCCTCCTCATAATGTATCACATTTGTTTTTATATTCCTCATAATTCTCATCCTACTCCTAATACAAGAAAAACAGACACTGTAGAATCAATTTTCATCACGGTCTCGGTACTCAGTAGTTTCTTTGAGAATATTTTGGTATTCTGAGAAGATTTTATAGCCATAGGACACCCCCATCAGCTTGATCCCTTTTCTCCTTTTCCTCTTCCCTTTGTTCTTAGTCTTCCCAGTCTTCTTTGAGCTCTCATTATACGTCAGCCTGTAACACAAGAGGGAACTAACTATGTTGACTGAAAGCTGAGAAATCTAGAGAAAGGTCCAGACTAGCAGCCAAAGAGAAACCATATAGAGGGCTATGGAGAATTAGATTAACTGGCCTAATTTACTTTATGCACAGCCCACATGCCAGAAATGGAAATCCGTTTCCTCACTGACTTTTCATATTTAAAATGTAACTTTTCCACCCAAGCTAACCTTTGTAAATAGCCACTACTTTGCATTATGACAATCTCTGGTTAATTGTAGCATAGGAGTTGAGTGTCTTTTAGTAGGTAGCCAGAGAGAGGGGTAAATGTTGTTCTGTGGGAATGATTTGATTATCTAATGAAGGAGATGAATACTTCGTATTACTTAGAGAAGGTAGAGAGTGACTTGTGGTAGTCTAACATGGATACATGCTATTCCTAGTTTTATGCCCTTGATGTTCTCTAATGGAAAGCTTTCAAGATCATCTCCAGAAATGTCTGCTTTCATTTTATTTATCTGAACTGTCTGTTTCCAGTGAACTGTGGCCCACTTCCTAGGCAGAGGCCATGCAATAGTTTATTCCCCCTAAAAGCTTTCAGTATTCCCATTGTTTAGGGAAGAGCATG